TTTTTTTTTTTTTACAAAGTCTTTTCTACATCCTTTCAAGATGTCTATTCAAAGCCATAAGTCCAAAAAGGAAGAATCTAAAATGAAACAATGCGTTAATGTCAGAGTGATTTTATTAAAGGGGTCAATATCAAGTTCACTGTATGAAACACATTCACACCAAAACTTCATCCTAAATTTTTTTAAAAAGCTTCTAAAGTAATTTACTAATAATCTTCCTGGAAAGGAACCGCATTATATAAACCTTCTTGTAACATTAATACATATATTAATGTATGCACAGCACCTTATTATCATCCACCAGCACACTGTAGACCGTGACAGAAGACGTCCGTGAACGAGACCCTGATGTGCACCCCTGACGTTTCTTCAGGGCTTCTGAGGTGCTTTGTGTCTCATAATGTCTGGCTGATGACAATATAAATTTGCATTGGAAATAGGATGTTAGTTCAACAAATCAGAGCGCTAACTTAAATATTATTGATATAAACTGTGTATCTTTCATAAAACAAATTGACATTATCATCTGAGCTCAGGTCGCCTCCTGAAACATGCAGATCGATTAAAATGTCAACTCTTTCAGAAGCAGCGCTTACAGTCAGGAGACGCAGAGAATGTGGACAGGGCCGCATTCACAACGCTAGAGGGATGCAGAACAACTAAATTGTCATCTCTCTCTTCACTCTGGCTCCGGCAATGTTTTTGTCTAGACCTCTTCCATTCATCCACAGATGCCGAGAGACATTCTAGAAGGTATCATATGAAAGATCAAGACCAAATTCTGGAACTAAACCCTTTAAATGTCAAGGTACCTGCTCTCTTGGAGATACCTGCTTTTTGCAAGGCCTGCTGAAGATCAGAGCGAGTCTCTTTGAGCTCCCACAGAAGGTTTTCAAGACTCTCTCGGCTGATATTGCTGTAGCGCAGAGCGAAGTACAGCAGAACAAGGCATCCATGGTTTTTCTGAGAAGACCAACTAAAAAGGCGATTTTCTCCTATGCAAAAAAGGAAATCTGCAATAAACCATGACTGACAGTATGCAGATTCATTTTTTATTGAATTTTGCTTAAATTCCACACTTTAAACCTAGACAGCATTGACCACTTCAGTATTATGCACTAGTCTTACCATCTGTTGAAAACCATGGTCCTCATTTTCCAAAACCATCTTACAGATCATCCTTTCGAGGTATACATTCAAAGCCACAAGTCCAAAATGGAAAAACCTAAAATTAAACATGATGCATCAATGTCAATCCCTGAGTAATTAAAGGGGTCAGTGTGAAGCAAAATGTATTATGAAACACATTCAGACTTTAAAATTTAAGAAATTAAAATAATTAAATTAAAACATTAAATAGCTTCTAAACTGTCTTTTTCCAAATTTGTGCAGGTTTCTAATGTCAGACAGATGAATACATTTCAACATATGCACACATGATCCCTTCTATGAAACACACTCAAATGAAATTAAGTATTAAACTGAAACTAAGCTTTTAAAATGGCTTTTTACGAATGTATGCAAGTTTCTGATGTAAGACAGATGCATAAATTT